TCTATTTTGGGGGACACATTTAAAGAAATAGATTTGATTTATGGTCTGGGGCAAAATTGTAAAAGGAAATTGGAAGAATGTTTCCACTTTCCTTTGGTAACACAGGCACCTCTGGTCTTTTTAGCATCTACTGATGGAGTCAACTACTGACTTCTTTTTTACTGTTTCTCTGAGTGACTGATAAATGAGAGCAATTTCTCTGACTTGTATAAGAAAGGATTTTCTTATATTTGTTTTAAGACTTCCTAGAATGATTCACTTTGCTACCACCATTCTGTTGCACTTGCGAAATGTTACGTGACACTGCTAAGGTAAATTTATTGAGGCTCTCAATTTTAATTAGTTTTTTTCTCATATTTTCTCTGAAAAGTTAATCCCCTTTTAATGAAATTGTAAAATATAAGCAAATCTTACATGACACTTTTATCACCTGCTCATTTGAGATCAAAAAGTCTAACTGTATTGCCCTCTAAAATTCTACCAAATTTTAAGTGCATATTAAAATGGTAATTTTTATCTCAGATCAATGGCTGAGCTTTAATTTATTTGAGCAAAATAAAACAATACAGATAATGGTTTATTGTTGTATTTCAACATGTTTTATAGTACTAAGATATTATTGTAGTGATTTTTATCACTGTTTGAAGTAAAGTAGGAAGCAGATTCTTAACTTGAAAACTTAATGGGTCTAAATTTTCCATCAGAAAATAATCTACCAAATAACATCTTCATAATGAAAAAGGGATTTGCTCTCATCTCTCTCCCAAGTTTTATGATGTAAAATGGTACCCACTGTTACATGTGAGTGATTGTAAAAATCTAGCACATGTGAGAGTTGGCTGGAATAATAGTATTATTACTTTAGCTTAGTGCTAAAGAAAATATTTGTACTGAAATCTCTCTTCTGAATTTTCCAACTATCTCTTACATTGAAGACCTGAAATGGCATTTTTGGCTCCATGAACAGTGCAATGATATCCTCCATTTAATTTGGGCAACCAGTTTATATTGTTTTAGCTTTCTTCTTTATTTATGATCAAAGTATAGGTTCACTTTGTAGCCTTATGTTGACAGTTTACAACCAGCTCATAAATGCCCCATCTTGTGATTTATGGTGGGCCTCCTACTTGCTGTCCATGACCTCTTTCTCCCAGGTCCCCACTCATTGCTCATCTCAGGCAACCAGTTGAAATTCATTAGCTTAGGTACCTGTTGGAAAAGGAAAGCCAGCGTTTAAACAATGTCTACATTATCTCCAAGCTCTTGAAGCCAGTAAGTCAAAGGAGTGAAATATAACGAGTTGTAATGATTGGGTCTGCCAACTGCTCAGAGTAAGACTCAACTTTGTTGATAAGTGTAGTTAACACTTATCAGAGGAAAAATAAAAGGCAAAACTAGTGTTAGTAATGAAGTTAATTGAGAAAAAGCTAGTTAACTGTCAAACTAGAAGAACCTTGAGAAGAAAGGCAGCTTCTAAAGGTCAATACTCAGCGTGCTGTAATCTTTACCATCTGTGTTCAGGCTGGTAAGATTCTGAGACTGTCATATGTAGCCCTTTTTCTGAAAATAACAGACAAGGGAAAAAAGACTTGCCCCACAGGGAGCCTGGATGTACTTAGCTGGGTAGAAAATGAAAACACTATATGGTATAAACTTAGGATGACCCTTGATTTTTCTTCCCCTTGACCTACATGGGTCCACAGATAGTTTCAGAAAAGCAGTGCCATGGCAAATTGAAATAATTCCATCACCAATGAAATGTAATGTTATATTTACAAGGTGGAACACTAGGCAGCTTGATTCAATATGAACACCCTCTATCGTCTGACTCTATCTGACGAAGGCTAACAAGGCCATCACCATGTTTTCCTAGTAGGAAAGCTTTTTACATAAGTGGAAAAATGGACTTGGTTTCTCTTTACTTGAAGATTTGACAAATATATTAGAAATCTAGAATGTTGTGATTCTATATATAGTGACATAGCTTACTCTTGTTAGAACAATATTTAGAGGTTTGGTGTTATATAGTCTTTTTAGAAGACTTATACCAAATATACCAGATGTTTATTACTACAAGGGATAATTTCATGCACTCTCATTTCTTAAATCAGTAGTGTTTTCACATAATGGAAAATGATCAATGAATAAATAAAAATATGTAATATTCATATACATATAAATGTATATGATTGTATATATGCATATATGTGTATGTAAAATTATATATTATTATTTATTAGATAAATTATGTATAAACTGTAATGATTCTTTGGAAATTTTGTATATTCTAATTAAGGTATAAAATACTATTGTTTTACCTCCCTCTATTATATACAAAGTACAGTGTTTTCAATATTGTTCATAGAATACCAATTTCTATTTTTTTCTAAAAATCCAATCCTTCAGATATTTTCAGCTCTAACTTTTCCTGTTGTACTACCTCCATCTCTAGATGACCTCATCTATACAGCTCATTTTTTATGCATACGACTTCATTTTATACTCACAACATCCCGAGAATTCATGAATACACATGTGACTTCAAAGATCCATGATACCGTCTTATAATAAAACATTTCCCTGGATTCATTGGTGCTATTTTAACCATGATAGGGGTGGCAAGTTTTACAAAGTGTGCTGACATCTAAACTTCATAAATAAAACTGCAGGTTAACTGATTTGTTTTTCTCTTCTGTGATTTCCTTGATTTGTTTTAGAAACACAAAAAAGGAATTTCTCGTCTCTGCAACATTTGTCACTGCTTCCGTAGCCTCCCAGGAAAATAGGATCCATAAAATCTTAGACATAAAATATAATAACACTCTCCAAATGCTGGTTAATAAAATGCTCCGCCTCTTTAGGAGAAAGAGATATTTTATTTGTATTCATTAGGGTGACCTAACCACTCACTAGTACACTTTATTATACCTCTCCTGTGTGATGTAATAGCTTGAGCACATGAAAATAAAGCATGCAGATTGCATTGCTTTCTCTCTTCATGTACTTAAAACACAGGTACCCCTAGTCTCTCCCTTTTCCTATCCTCCCTTTTCATTTCCTCCTCTTACTCATCTTCTCTTTGTTTCCTTCTCTTTCTCCTCCATGATCTGCACACCAAGACTCCCCTAACAAGCCATTCATTTTTATATTCTGAAGGCAATCTTGTCAGTTAAAGCCCCTGTGAGATTTCTCGAGTGGGTTAGGTTTATTTTCTTGTTGTTGCTTTGATATCGTGGGTTACATATTACTCATTTCAACTGGTTTATATTGACCTAAAGGCCTTTTCTTTTTGGAAGAATGCATTGTTTTATAACTAATTAGTAAAGAAAAAATTATTGTAATTAGTGAATATAGAACTAAGAATGAAAAGCTGTTCTAGAAAAACAGAAATAGAGAAAGAAAGAAACTTTTTACACAAAGGCTGCTAAATAAATGACTCCCTTAGTTTTAGGAAAAGGAATGTCACCATTAACAAATGATACTACTCTGAGCCTCTTATGTTGAATATTGTGTCACTGTCAATCACTTGGCAATCCACAGGGCAATACTTCTCCATAATAACTGCCAACTTCAGTCAATATATTTGCATCATTTTACTTTAGAGGCTTATGAAATGCAAATAAACATTCTACTAATAGTGCTTCTTATTTAATTAGTTCTGCCTGGTGGATATTCTTTTTCTTCACCAAGGCCTTAAAAGTAAGAATTTCAATTCCAAGCCTGATTTGGCCATTTGACAATTCTTTGCATTGCTGACCCATTGTTTTGAGGTTGTTGACCAAGGATATAGGAATTACAACATGAGAAATAAGACCCTTTTTTGAAAGAAGGTACACAATGCAGGCATCTGTCGTTCAGCATATTATTTAAAAACTCAGAGAAAAGAATCATACCCACATTGTTTTTTAAAATAGTTTTAAAAAAAATCTTTGGGAAATGGATACTGTGTTTCTGTCTGAAGTGAAAGTCATCCACTACAAATATTTTGCTCTGTTATTCTACTACATGTATGCGCATGTTAACCCAGCATCATTCATTTTGAGAAAATACTGCCTACTTAAATACTTCATTAGCATAATTTTTATTTGCATTTCTCCTTCACCCCATAGTAATTCTGTTTATATAGAAAGTAGACAAGTGACACAGGCCTGGCAAATCAGAATAACCCATGACCCTAAACAATTAAGAATAGAAGCTGCCCAGCTAGTTGTTTGCAGAGCCTAGGACCATTATTTAAGATCTATTCTGCCCTCTGGAAGGGGTACCCTATTTCAGAAACCTTGACAGCCAGCTTGGATTGACCAAGTGCTTTGTTGGATGAAGTGAAACAGGTACTCATCAGCTTTCTATCCTCTTTTCACAATTTTTGGCTACATGGAACATGACCTCAACTCAGCATTGACAAGGAAGCAAGGCAGTTTGATTGCACTTCAGGAACTTAGGTTTAAACCATGAGGATGATGCGTTCACAGACAATTGGGACCAATGTGAATTACGCATTTATAGTAAGAGCCTTTTAGAAGATATTCCAGCCTATCCGTATCACTGATGTGACACAGTCTTAAGAGAATATATTTATTTGGATTGAGGTGGTGGCATTCTTTCTTTTTTTTTCTTTTATAACCCCATTTTAAACTACAAATCTCACATGAATCCAGAAATATACTTTGGAAAGAAGTTAAGCTACTCTTGTAGAGCAAACAAGAACTTTTTATTATTTATTATTTATTTTATTTTTTTTTTTTGAGACAGAGTCTCGCTCTGTCACCCAGACTAGAGTGCTTTGGCATGATCTCGGCCCACTGCAAGCTCTGCCTCCCGGGTTCACGCCATTCTCCTGCCTCAGCGTCCTAGTATCTGGGACTACAGGCGCCCGCCACCGCGCCCAGCTAATTTTTTTTTTTTTTTTTTTTTGTATTTTTAGTAGAGACGGGGTTTCACCATGTTGGTCAGGATGGTCTCGATCTACTGACCTGGTGATCCGTCCACCTCAGCCTCCCGAAGTGCAGGGATCAGAGGCGTAAGCCACTGCGCCCCACCGAACATTTTATTTTTTGAGACCTCCTTTTCCAACCTCTTGCACTCCACGTGGATCCCAAAATTCTTGTATGGAAACATAAGCCTCTGCAAAAATAAATGTTTGAAAAAAATTAAGACATTGAATTATTAAATGTATAAGAATCATCTCTTCAGGTTCAATCATTCCTGTGGTATATTCCTATGTCACTAACACTCTAGAGGTTACTCATTTTAATTAGTAAGAATATATAGAAATGGGTGAGTGAGCGGATAGATGGGTGGATGACTGAAAGCAGGTATGTATTGACGAAGGAGAGAATGGGAATAGGTAAGTCTGGAGCAATGGGTAGAGGACATGGTAATGCCCCAGTTGAGGGGAACACTGACATGCCAGCAACATTTTAGTGCATCCTTAAAGAAAAGAGGTTGGTTTAAGAGAAAATTAAGGATAACAGACATGGAGTCAGTATATTTCATCTGCTTCCTAACTTTGATGAGGGTTGAGTCTGTCATAACCAATTTCTTCCTTGACTTAGTATTATATAGATACAGTCATGGCTGATAATAAGAGTGGACCCAGGTGGGGCATTAAGACACTGCCACCCACACCCATATGTGTTAATTCGCTTCCTGCCAAAACATGTCTTTTGAATCATGTAGGCTTATGCTAAGGGAAAAAGGCAGCATATTCAATGGAATGCAGAAAAAATATTCATGAAATTGTGGGTCTGTGACTTCCCACAGGAAGTTTTGGTTTCTGCTTTCAAATTAACCTGTCCAAGCACTGCTCAGAGGCTTATAGATTATGGAGATCAATTCAGAAAACCTACAGCAATTGCTTGTGTAGTTAAGATTCTTACTTTGTATTAGAAAATTCCTAAGTTGTTAGTAGAACAATAGGCAATTAAAACAGTGTTCAAACCATTTACAGGACACAGGAGTCTAGATAGGTTGCTCCAGTGTCAGGGTGGGACAAACAAAACAAAAACCAAAGCTGTAGATCACATTTAAACCCTCAGGGTAAATATGAACAAAAGGTAGACTATATATTTTTAAGGCATCTGGGTGTAAACCTTTTTTTCCCCTCTTTGCCAGAAACCATAGTGTTTATAGGCATGTTTTACTGGAAATCTGCTGCTTCTCACAATGTTTCCTGCACAACTGTCTTAGTAAAACTACATCTGGAAATGACAAGCACACAGTTGTAAATCTGGAAGTCAGTGTGTTGTTGTAATAGCTTGCAGCTACAGTACGGCTGTCTTGCTGAACACCAAAGAGTTATAAAGACAGAGGCCAGCTGTAGCTACTGAAATGAATGCTATTTTTTCTGAGGGGATAGAATGAGGTTTAAGAGGGTTATAATGTCTCCTATTAAACTAAGAAATGGAGCATTGAACTGATTGTCTCTTGGACAAATCAATTATTTCAGAAACCTTGATGACCAGCCTGGATAGACCAAAGCCTGCTTTGTTGGATGAAGCAAAAACAGGGAGAGATCAATTGACTTGTAGACTTCTAGAGTTAGTTGGGTCATAGCAACCACCTAAATCAAATGTCTCCCTAAATAATGAACTTCCCTTCTCAAGAGCCACAAAATGTCATCCTCAAATAGTAGCTTGAACATTTCAACAGTTCTCAGTCCTAAATGACTGATGAGATCCATATATAGGTCCCAAACAAAACAACCTATATGCTTAGCCTGAAGTTCTCCCTATGCTTTGGTTTGAATGAGTCTTCTCCAAAGTTCATGTGCTGAAATTGAATGGCCAATGTGATAGAATTAAGGCATGGAGACTTTGAGAAGTAATTACATCATGAGAGCTCCTTTCTTATGAATGGTATTGAGTCCTTATTAAAGAGGCTCCACATAGCATTCAGTTCTTTCCCTTTTCTACTCCTTTGGCCTTGTAAAGACACAGCATTCCTGCCTTTCAGAGAATGCATCTAGGAAGGTGAGGCTGGGCCCCTCATCAGACACTAAAACTACCATTAACTTGATTCTGGACTTCCCAGCCTTCATAACTGTGAGAAATAAATTTCTGTTCTTCATAAATTACCCATTTGTAGGATTTTGTTATAGCAGCACAAACAGAATAAGACACCCTATGTGTGTATCTTCGGATCATTTTCAAATTAACCTGGGGAATCGAAGAACGATTCGTCACTATGGGAGGTTCCTCAAACCACATGTTGATATCAAAGCCACCAGTAAGAATTGTAGTGATGAGTTAAGCAATGATTAGTCAATAATAAACAGAAGTAAAATAGCAACCAAATTTTAATTTATTATTCAAATAATAATTGAACATTGATATGTTTAGACACTATGGGCTTTGGATGTAACTTATACATATGCGAGCACTGTTTATCTTTAAAAATGGCTTATACTTTCAGTAATGTCTCTAAGCCTGTGTATATCAACAGGTGGATATTTAAAATAACTACAGTGTCTTACCTCTTCTTTGCTCTGCTTCCAGCATGTTCTTTCTTCCTTCTTTTCTGTGTCAGAGGAAGAACAGCTCATCTTCCCCACAGGGCCAAACTACCTTTTTATATTTCTTTCATTTCATCTAATTCTCAATTTCAAAGAGATCACAGTATTTTATTATTTATTTTTTCTTTTGTGTCTTCAATGTTTGAATTCCCCTTCTAAGCCTCTTTTCCTTGCTCTCAATCATACACAAATCTCTCCTACATGAAAACAGTTTGAAATGAATTATATGGTCCACTGAATTTACCAGAATTGAAGAAGGAAAGTCTCATCTTGTCAAAGAATAGCTTTTATAAGATCCATGAGGGTAGGGCAGTGTCTGATTCATTGGTGTTCCCATTTTCTAAAAGATGCCCAGCCCCAGTAGATGCTCAACAAGTATGTGTCAAATAAATGAATGAAAACAGTAAATGAGTGAATAAATAGTAATGCATATAGACTAGCTTAACTTTTACCTTTACTCCCTCACAATTTACTGGCTGTTTTGTTTCCCCACATCAGATTATTCAAAAGCATCCTGATCTGCTAGACATCAAGTTATTATTTCAATAGCTTGTCCCAAGTCATCATTTTTCTATCTTTGCTATATATTTAATATTTAACACTGAGAGCTCCCCATTACCAGCATTGCCCCTGAAACACACACACACACACACACACACACACACACACACACACCCCAATAGAGTTTTGTAACTTTCATGAGAAACCAGCATATGTTTCATCCCATCTCTTGCTCTATGCATCTTGGTCTCCCTTACTGTTTTTGACTTTTCGAAGAGACACTTCTCCCTTGGTTCCAACTCCCGTAGGTGCTGAACTTGAAGTTGTCTCAGCTCACTTCTTGATGATCTAACGGCTTCTCTTTCCTTAGAGAGAGGAAAAGAGTGGGGAGAAAGGAGAAAGAGAAGAATGGAAAGGTTTAAGTAGGATTTGTAGTTGGAGAAAATCTTTCTAAACAAGCCTAATACTTCTGCTTCTCCTGTTACCTCCTTCCTCTGGTTCTCAAATTGTGGCCTCAGTACAACCTATGTCAGAATTGATACAAATATTGATGTCAGGCTCTACCTTAGTCTATTAGTCCTTCTAAAATAGAATTCCAAGGATGGGAACTCCAAAATCTACATTCAAAAATAAAACAAAAATCATTTTTTTCTAGTTTGCAGAGAGGTTTGGGGACCACTGAACCATATAACACTGCATAGAGGTAAATAAATAATGAAAAAATAGATATGAAAAATTATCCATTCAAAGGCTATGGCACCTGGATCATTCATCATAACCTACAAAATCCTCCTCCTCTCCCAGTTTTACAAGAGTCCTGTACTGAACTTAGCTGTCTTCAGTATGCTGAAGACTGTTTATTACCTCACCTTTACTATGCACAGGTAACTCATCCTATAGGAGATGACTCTAGCAAATAATTTGCTGTGAAGTTGGTAAATTGTTATGGCTTTTCAGAGGAGTTTTCTCAAATAAGCAGAGATCCAACCAAATTATATGATTTGCTGAGATTCTACTACTTCTATTTCATTACAAGTCCTACAAATTTCTACTTCTATTTTCATCTTCACCTTTTTAAATCTTTACTACCTGTACTAAATTTTTACATTTCAAACAAATCAATTTCAATAACTCTACTTTTTGAAATCAAAATATTCCATTTATGGTATTATGCATATTAGCAACAGATGTAAAATTACTCCTAAAATTTTAAGGGCAGGGATAACTACAAATACTTGGTGTAAAACATGTTTTACTTACATATAATAATGGGACTAGTTTGTAGTCACACCCAACATGAGTGACATTTCTTTGTAACTACATGTGTATAGTAGAAAGAGAGAGAAGGGAAAGAGAAAGACTGATTAAAAACCAATGGACTGACTGGGCACGGTGGCTCACACCTGCAATCCCAGCACTTTGGGAGGCCAAGGCCGGTAGATCACCTGAGGCTGGGAGTTCAAGACCCCTGGTCAATGTGGTGAAACCCCATTTCTACTAATAAAACTACACAAATTAGCAGAGCCTGGTGGCTCATGTCTGTTATCCTAGCTAGTCAGGAGGCTGAGGCAGGAGAATTGCTTGAACCCTAGAGGAGAGGCAGAGGTTGCAGTGAGCCAAGATTGCACCACTGCACTGCAGCCTGGGTGACAGAGTGAGACTTTGTCTCAAAAAAAAAAATTAATTTTAAAAAATGGGCTCTTTAATATTTGTTTTATTGACACACACATATTAATTTCACTCTGTCTACATTCCTATATCTTCCCAATTTTTTTTTTTTTTTTACTCTGTGACACCCCTAAAGAACAATTGGTTCCTGTCCTGTTCCACTTCCTGGCTATGTTCCTCTTCAGTATTTAGCAGTGACTGTTCTCCTAGGAGCCATACTGTGGCATATCTCCTATGCAGGAGCAGAGAAAATCCTGCCACCAACTGTGTGTAAAGAAATGCCTTCAGAACTACAACTTGATCAAGACCCTACAGCTCTTTTATCAGGCCCTGAAATTAGATTGAGAAACATACAGAGTTTTACAAATAATGGTACCAATAGCTCCTGGTACTTTTAGTTCCTCAATTTGCTTTCTTTGTTTTTTCTCATTTCAAGCCACTGTTGTTCAAGAAGGACCTCACTGATACCTGACATGACACATCAGAAAATAAGTGTGAAGTCTGGCTGTGCTATAACCCTGAGAGTTCACATTTGTGGTTCAATCGTGGCTACATGTGAGCTGTTTACACTCTAGTTATCTCTTGAAATTTGGCAGTCATTACTTATCTAGGAACAATTTGGCTTCTCTCTTCCCACTGGGGAAAAACTATTCCTCGTTACCATCTTTACATCTTTTCTCCATCTTCTGTTTAAAATTTGTTTGTTGATGTTTCTCTTTCTAATTATAACATTTGGGAAATACAGAAAATTCTACTGGACATAAAAACACATACTGACACTCACAATATCATCATCCAAAGGTATCCACTGTTAACATTTTTAGTACTTCCAGTCAACCCTTTTTCTTTCCTGCCTTTTGACAGGTAAAAAATCACACCATGCATTTTTAAATTTTTTTTCTTTACTTTTCTCAGTATTTTATTATAAGCATTTCCCATTTAATACAAAACTTCATAAATATTATTGGTTTCATGATTCCCTGCTAAAGGACAATAATATAATTTATTTGAACAGTTTCCTAATTGGGGATATTCAGACTATTTCCAAGAGTGTGAAGAGCATACATTTGAGAAATGATCATGAAAGAGCATTTTATTTATGCACCTAACCAATTTGTTTTCCTAGAAATACCGAGACAGACTCAATGAATCAGAGTGAGTATTTTTGTGGCTCTCATTACATATAATTTCTGCTTGTTTTCAAACCTGATTTTAAGTTTTACCTAGTTCCAGACAGTTGTGACTACATGTAGTTAATGTTCATTTATGAGAATTGTTGACTAAATATAACAGAGGGTAATTGAAGGGAAATGTAATGAAAAGGGGATAATTTTCTTGGAATTTCTATTTTGAAGAGTTATTTTGTCCTTGATCAAGTTATATGTCAACTTTAGTGTGACTTTTCTGACTAGAGAGAACATGTCAGACCTTTCAGCTTTCCTTTAGAAGTGGTCTTCAGGTTTTTCTTGTTTGCTTTTTCTTTCTAATTCTTAAGTGAATTTAGGCTCTCTTTTCATTTTTCTGATGCAAACATCTATGTGGTCTGGACAAAGGAGATGCATTCTTCTTTTTTCCTTCCCTGCTATTGAGTTCACTTTAATCTGTAACACAAAACAAGTTATCTCTCTATTTTCTAAACATTTTTGTGCTCTCAGTTTTATTCTACCCAGTTTCTTGTTTAGCTGCCTAAATTCTCCCAGCTCATTCACTCACAGCCACTTCTGGATGATACTTGTTGCTTCAGGTTAATAGCTCCTGTATTAGTCCATTTTCATGCTGCTGATAAAGACATACTCGAGACTGGGCAATTTACAAAAGAAAGAGGTTTAATGGACTCACAGCTCCACATGGCTGGGGAGGCCTCACAATCATGGTGGAAGATGAAAGGTATATCTCACATGACGGCAGACAAGAGAAGAGAGTTTGTGCAGGATGAGAGAAGAGAGTTCGTGCAGGGAAACTCCCCTTTATAAAACCATCAGATCTTGTGAGAATTATTCACTATCAACAGAACAGCATGGGAAAGACCTGTCCCCATGATTCAATTACTTCCCACCAGATCCCTCCCACAACACTTGGGAATTGTGGGAACTACAATTCAACATGAGATTTGGGTGGGGACACAGCCAAACGATATCAGCCTTATCCAAACTGTGGCCTGAGAGCTATGTACTCAGAAGGGTTTCCAATGCCACCATTCCACAATCTTACAGTAAAATTTCATCAAACATTCCTGTTAAAATGTTGTTCACTTTGTTCTCACTCAGACATAATTCTCTGTCTTTCTTTTCTCTCCTCGTGAAAGAGAGCTGAACCCTTCCACTGAGTCCTATCTTGTAAGCAGATCATTCCTTCTCTACGCAGAGCCGTCAAAGTCACAGAAAGCCCTAACATTCCAATGGTGATTTTCTTTAAGAAACAGCATTTTAAACAGTGAATGGGGAGATGAGTAGCTATGGCTTCTCTAACTTTCATTTTGTGTGTATTTGTGTATGAGCAGCGGAAGGCAGTGAAATGGGCAGAGGGGTAAAAATAACCAGTCCTTTTATTTTTGGATTGAAAAAAATATTTTGCTAATGCATTTCTGCATTTAACAATTTTTCTTAGGTAAGTTAGACATTTAATAGTACAAGTCACTGGTGTTGTACGGAAGGACTTCACCAGTCTTCTCTATAAATGACAAACTGCTGGAATGTAAAACATTTGGTTTTTTACAAATGCCTTTACTCGAGTTGGAAGTCGTGATCTATGTTTCAGGTCAAAGGCAAGAACATGCTTTCCCCTATCTGTTTCCTGTCTCCAAGCGATCAATCATTTATTTCCCCAGGGAATTGTAGTTCTTGGGCATGTGGCCTGTTTTCCATTGGCTTCTATTATCTTTTGCTAATTAGATTACAACCTAGTATTTACCTTACTATGTGGCTTTGAGACTTTCCCCTGCAGTGCTTTTCTGTTCACTTTATGAATGCTGCACATCATGAGTTCTCTTGGCCTGCTTTGTTAAACCAGGCAAAGTGAGGAGCTCTACATTCACATTTGAGGAGAAAGGAGTAAAAAAATAAATGAAAATTAATTAATCTTACTTTATGTTCAGATCTAATTCACCTTTGAGAATATGCCCTCAGGAAATTTTAGAGCTGTTGCTATCTCTAGACTACTTTAGATTTTATAATATAACTCTCACCTTGAATTTATGTTTTGCTTATACTTGATAAAAATTTATTATCTGACACCAGATAGTATTGCATCCCAATGTGGTGATTAATTTTGTGTGTCAATTTGGTTAGGTTATGATGACCAGTTGTTTGGTCAAACACAGGTCTAGATATTACTGTGAAGGTATTTTTTTAGATGTGATTAACATTTAAATTAGTAGAATTTGAGTAAAGCAGGTTACCCTATATAATATGGGTGGGCTTTAGTAAATCAGACAGAGGCCTTAAAAGACAAGGACCCATAAAGAGAAAGGAAGTTTTGCCTCCAGACTGCACGGTAGAAATTATTGAGTTTCTAGCCTTTTCGTTCAAGACTGTGACATCAATTCTTACCAGAATTTCTAGCCTGCCCTGCAGATTTTCAACTTGTGAGTCCCCACAAGCGCATAAGCCAATTACTTGAAACTTCTCTCTCTCTCTCTCTCACTGTATGTGTGGTAGGGTATGTGTGTGTATGTGTTTGCATATATATGTATCCTCTG